ATGTATTCTAGAAGAAGGTAATTAGGAAGGGACAACAAACAACTTATCAAAGTCACCAAGGAGAGACTGCATCTCTTGTAATTAGTGTTGAGTAAGCTCACTAGCCTCAAGCTTCCTAGTCTTAATGGAATACGAAAACAATCCTAGATTAGAATTGTAAAGTTCCTTGTCCAAGTGTTGTAGGGTAACTTCTTGAATAGATGGATCCACAAGAGGAGTGTGGTACAATTTAAACTATTGTTGATCTTTAGTAAATGCCATGGTAAGTTGTTGGAAGTCCCGTAAAACTGGACTAACTGTGGACAGTGATAGAGATTTTACCACACACACATAAAGGGTTAAAAACTCCTATAATACTTGCAAGAATGACAAGGTTATTGTAGTATAAAAGAATCTCGCAAGGTCATTCTCCACAGGGATTATTAAATAATTCGAAGCAAACCAAATTCCAATTGATTATTGTAAAACATAAATTTGAGATGATTGATTTTTATGACCTATTTTAATAAAAACGAATTTAACTAATAAAAATAAACTAATTTGCAATATTAAAGATGAAGAAAAAGGAAACAGTTTTGTAGAAATCAAATTAAGAAAACACTAGGGATCTGCCGTCACCTTAACAATCCTATATAGTTCTCTCAATTACTTATGACTTATACATGCATATTTCGAAGGTTAGGTTTTCCTAATATATGCCTACTTCGACCTCCAACATAGAACATATATCAAACATGCAATCTGGCTGTGGTATTGAAATCAAATCTAAACAAGCATGACTCATTAAGTTCTATGAAACCTTTTGAAAAACCATGCAACCCTCAAGATGTAGTATTCATCCTAAGGGAACTTGCACATATTAATCACAAGAAGCCTTCGTCAATTTCAGGGACCGACCTCCGACCAAAATTACATCAAATTACTTTTCTAAACATCATAATGGTGATCAAGCATTAAGATAATTAGATAGTTTAAATCAATAATTAATAATTCAAAAACTTGCATGCATATAATCATAAGCAAATTGAAGAGAAACTACATATTTTTGCGGAGGCTTGTGGCCTCACCCTAGCAAAAAGAGAATTAGTTACGCATATTGATAATAAAAATCATAAATTTCTTTATTGAAATAATAAAAGATTGAGAACACCTAGAATGGAAAAAGTCTGAAAATCTCTACGCTTGGCCAATTTTCTCTCTTCAAGGAACGCACAGAGAAGAAGTAGCAAGAATAAAGCCGGCCAAGCTTATTTAACCTAGAAGAAATTAAATCATCCTAATAAAAGGTCTTCCAATCGAACTAGGAAACTAAATAACTAAAATAAAATAGGAAACATAACTCTAAACTAAATGATAAAATTTGCCTAAAATCTGAACAGCCACGTTTTGGACTCCTAAACTGCTCCAAAACAGGCCCAATACAGATTTCAGGTTTCAAATATTCTGAACACTTTTCCAAAAGGCCACAAACCCATCAGAGGTCATCTCAGGCTCCAAAAATGCAATTTAAGCCCAAAAACGTCATTTTCTAGCACTGCACACTGCTCATTTATTCCGTTGCCAGAAAATAATTGTTTGGTATAAAAATCCCAAATTTTGACACGAACATGCCAAGAGACACGAAAACATCCTCCAATTTGAATCACTCCAAAATTCGTCCGTTTGACCACGTTTTGCTTCAAAGGAATTTGAATGTCCTATATTGAAAAGATAAATCAAAGTATCAAATTCTACCAAAATAATTACCAAAGCATACTAAGAATAAGGTAAAATATTCATCAGACAACCAATGAACACCCAAAACTACATCACAGTCCCCCAATGGTAGTGAGTACAAATCCACTGTGTAATTATAACCACCCAAAGAAAAAGCAGCATACTCATAGCACCCTGAGCCTTTTACTCGACCCCCCATCACAGTCCCCCCATACACCACCGTTTCAACAAAGATTATCCCATCTGATTGTTGGAAATATGCCTTAAAATCAATCAAATCTATAGGGAAAACAAGGTTAGTCCATAATCTATTCATTGGGCAAGATCGCAATAGGTAAGTTACCAATGCAATATCATTAGTGAGCCCATGTATAACGATTATATATATGTGTAAGATGTAACTTTGAAATAAGGGTGAAGTGTCGATTTAGTCCCTGAACTATCCTCTCAGTGAAAATTAGGTCACTAAATTATTTTTTTGGTAAAATGAGTCCCTAAATTCATTAAAAATTACTAATTTCATCCCTACTATTATATGCAAAGCTATTTTATCCATTTTTTTTGTCAACTTAAGTCACTCGACAAACTTTAGAATGTAATACAGTCATTTTCTCGCCTATAAGCCCTTAACATTTCATATAGGTTGTGAATCTAACGTCTATTTTACCCTCCAAAGTTAACTCCATACACTTTCTTTATGAAAAATTATCAATCTACCCCCTAATGTGTATCACATGCAAGTAATTTGACTTATATTTACAAAAATTTGAATATAGTAGCTTCGAATATAATATTAAGGCTGTAGTTGGCAAATTTTTATAATTCAAACACTGATTTTTCTGAAAAAAAAAAAAAAAAAAAGTTTAGGAACCTAATTTTCACTCAAGTGATAATTTAGGGACTAAATTGATAGTTCACCCTTGAGATAATGTTAAAGAGACCCTCTTCATATGTGTTGATCCTAAACATTGTTCCTGGACGTTGTCTTTGTTTGAGTGGATATCATATACTATGGTAAGATTGGTACACACTATGTCTACACAATTGTCTAGTCTCAAGTCATTAGTGAGAGTAGCTAAAACAAATATGTAGGTGCTTAATAAGGATTAAGTTTACCAAACGTGATCTCCTTGAGATCCTATTTATGTATACTAGATACGTACTCATGTCAATAAGAACTTGATTGCTACAATAATGCATATTAATCATTGGATATGAGGCATCACACATGTCTTGTGATTTGGTCCTTATTCTTAGATTATGTTAAAGACACTCCGATGTAAGAGGGTATCCACGACATCATTAGAGTTAAGCTACCTAATCATAGAGGCAGATGAATGTACAACAAAGAATCCCTAATCTTCACAATTGAAGGAGAACGCTTATCAACATGATTCAAAAGTCGTTGCCCAAAGCATCATGATTTAGAATGAAGTTCCAAACCTATCGAGTTAAATCATAAGTGATCACTTAAGCACTTGACATAAAATAAGCTAACTAATGTGATCGAGAGCATTGTATTAGATAATGATTGCATTACATTGTAGTTTCAACGCAATAGGTTCTCTCGTAATTAGTACATTAATCACCATGATATGCAACTACGCCTCTCTCATGGTCTATGAGATCCTCAAAGACGATCATTGTTGTCTTCACAAAAAGGTAGATTAAAAGATGAGTTTCAAATCCAACAAAAGAATTAGAACAATCTAATTCATCTCACAACCTCGTCAATGAGAACTTAAAATATCGCACACCCTATTCTAGGTTAAAGATGATGGAAATAATATATTAGATTAATTAACATGGAAAAATAATTAATTAAACAATTTAATTAACTATTATGATGGTTATATGTCTCAAACTGGCCTTGAAATAGTTTTGACAGTTAGATGGGATTTTCACTTCAATAGGAGGACCCACCACCAAAGATGTAAAATAAATATGTACATTTAGGTTTTTATTTTTATTTCTAGTCAAAATATATCTTTTACATCTCTCTCCACCAATGCAAAATACACATTTCAAGTCATTTTGCATCTTCCATCGAAGATGCCCTAATGACTGGGAGATTATTAGGCAATACTATCACGCCGTACATGATACTTCCTTTTAAAATTTGACATGTGGACCTATTTAACAAAACTGGATTTATAATTTATTTTAGGAATTAAAAATAAATAAAATACTTGAAAATTTTTAAAAAACCTAGACTGATCCTCTTTCTCTCTTCTTCCTCCGCCAGTCTGATCCTATTTTATGTATAAACGATTTGGCTCTAGCTCTGTCTGGTCCTAACAAAATTCCTCCCAATTGATCCTCATCTGGTCCTAGCAGATTACAAAATTTCGAAGAATTGTTTGTGTTTTGGCTTGTGATTCGAGGAAAACCCAGACGGTGAAGGACGTGTCTGTACCGACGTCAGAGTGTCGTGTTGCATAATTCAGGCGGCGAAGGATGTGTCTGTACCGGCGTCGATGCGACCTACCTGAGTAACCAGCTGGGCGGGCGGAACACGATGGTGATGCTGGAGACAGAAGGACACTTACCCTATCTGAAGGACACTTACCCTATCTGGGCGCCTCCGGTCTACTAGCTCGGAAGCTCTGCTACGCCCTTGCATCGTGGGTGGGGCTTGTCGTAAAGGAGGGTGGAGGGTGGTCGCTGGAGGACGGAGGGATGATAGCTGGGTTTTTTTTTTATTTTTCAAAGTATTTAATTTATTTTTAGTTTCTAAAATCTTTAATATTAGAATGTAAATTATAAATTCAGTTGTGTTAAAAAGAGTCCAAATGTCAAATTTTATAAGGAAGTTTCACGGATGACAGCATAGACCAAATAATTTCTCCTAATCACCCCCTCATTACAATTCTCATTTTCTTTAGGCCTAATCGAATAAATGGTCCATGTGGTGCTAATGTAATTGGAAGATGATCCCTATGGTAAAAAAATTAGAATTTAAACCCTCGAGGTGTTAGTTAGTTAGCAAATTTAGTTCATAAGTGATTTTTCTGTTAAATGTTCGTTACATACAGGGGTAAAAATGTACACCTTCTTCCTTGTCTCTCTGCTGTCTCTCTCTGCAATTTGTATTTTCTTGCATGAGGTCATCATTGGCAGCGCCCATAACTTGAGGTTCTTCGAACGATTGTGAGCACGTGAGCTTCTTTGGAATTTGACAGTAGCCGTTGCCCTAACCAACGAACCTTCACCTCGTTCCAAGCTTTTAGGCTCACGCCCTTCTTCCTCCTCCCAACACAACAACGGATCCGTTCAATCGGGACCCAACTCCGGTCAAATCCTCAGGCCCCTTAGCTCCACAACTCCAGGTAGCTGGCCTTATCACCTCCAGGCCATTGGGCTCGGGCCCATTAAGTTCCGGGGCCAGAAGGTCGTCCGGTCACATTGGCTCGATGAGCAAAGTGTTGTATGGTTTGTCGATGACCACTTTGAGCAAGGAGGTGAAAGTGGAGTTTCAGGTGTCAAACGTGGTGATTTGGGTGTTCATGGTGGTGGCAGCGATGAGGTTGCTAGTGGGTGGGTTTCTAATGGTGGCCGTCAAGAAATGGGTGATGTTGGTGGCGGTGGTGCTCTTTCTGGTGCTGGTGTTGGTGGTTGTTGTCTGGAATTGTATTTGGGGAAGAGAAAGGCTACTAGGGTTTGTGAGGAGGTACCTAGATGTTGAGCTCAGAGGTCCCATTGACGGACAGTACATCAAGGTTACAGGGGTAATCACTTTCCCCATCTCTCTTAGATTTTCCTTTCCTTTTTCATATTTATTTATTTAGTTGCTTGCCCACTCTTAAAATAATTGCGTTATCTTGCTATTTAAATTAGATACCTTCCCAATTTTTTTATTGATATTACACAAAGAATTCCAAAAAAGCTCACATGCTCACAATCGTTCGAAGAACCTCAAGTTCTGGGCGCTGCCAATGATGACCTCAAGCAAGAAAATACAAATGGCAGAGAGAGAGCAGAGAGACAAGGAAGAAGGTGTATATTTTTACCCCTGTATTTAACGGACGTTTAACAGAAAAACCACTTATGGACTCAATTTGCTAACAAACTAACACCACGAGGGTTTAAATCCTAATTTTTTTTTACCATGGGGACCATCTTCCGATTACATTAGCACCACAGGGACCATTTATCCGATTATGCCTTTTCTTTATTTCTTCATTAATAACAAAGTTTAGCATTATCGTGCATTTTTAATGCCAACCCCAGCCGTATTTTATTGGAAGTTTTAATGAAAAACCTGCGGTACTGTTTATTTTAACGAAAAATCATATTTTTATACTAAAAAGTCAAACCTGATACCATTTACTTTACCTTTTATTTTATCTTTATTGTTAAACCTCAAAGTTTTCAAAATCTTTTCCTTAGTTTCTTATTTTATTTCCCTCTCAAGACTTCCACCAAATCACCAAGTCTCTGTGCGTCTCTCTCCACCATCTGCAAACAAAAATATTTACTTCAGTTAATGATACTCACGTCCCACATTGCTCATCTCTCCCAATTAGAGCCTTTCCCTTTCCTTTCAATCCAATTATCATCCAACTCTCGCTTTCTACTCTGTAAAACCTTGAACAAGACCAAGCCAAAGAAACAATCTTTGAAAGCGCTTTCTTTTGTTTTTTAATCGAGTTAAAGCAAAAGGGTTGCATTCGTTGCCAGCCATGACTGAGGTCCTCCATTCCCCTTCCCATTTTTCTTCCTCCCCAAGACCCAGCTCCTCTTCTTCTTCCTCTCCTCCTCCTTCCAATTCTTCCTTATCCTGCGCACCCCCGTCTTCTTATCCGGCCCACCCCGGCCCACCGAAGACGACGACGATTGCGACTCTGCGGTGACTTACTGTGAGGCGAAGGACCGTGACAAGCGCAGAAGGGAGCAGCTTTCTCTGTTGGCGTTGCTGGTAACCTTTTTCAGGAAATCTTTGATTCCTTGCAAGAGTGACAGAAGGGAGTTTTGCGCTATGGAGATCGGCTGGCCAACCAATGTGCGACACGTGGCACATGTAACCTTTGATTGGTTCAATGGGTTCTTGGGTTTGCCTGTGGAGTTTGAACCCGAAGTGCCAGGAGACCTCCCAGTGCAAGGTAACTTTATGTTTTACTTTTCTGGGTGAAATTATGTCAATGTGGGTTTGACCCAATTACTGCGATTGATAAATTATTGGTTTTGGTTGATGGGTTTATGGGTTTTGCTTGCATTTGGTTTTAGTTGAAGGGTTTTGCTTGCATTTGGTTTTGGTTGATATTAAAAAATATTGTGAATTTCTTGAACTTAACTATTGCATGTTTTATAGTATTGTTTTCTTTTGCTATGGCATTGTTGAGATTCGGAGGGTGCACTACAACCGATTTCTGATTTTGTGTGTTCGGTCGGGTTTGATTAAACCTCGACATTGTGAGGGTACATGCACTGCCTGATTATGTTCTATTGACCTCCTTGATTTTGGTCTAGTTATGACTTGTTCAAAAGTGTTGCTTAGTATAATCTTCTCAATGGGTTGATCAAGGTGGTGTCTTTAATGCAGTAAGGGCAATGACATTGACAATTGCGGATTCCATCTCATTCAGCATCATGGCAGGTGAATGAGACTAAACTTTGCAATTGTACAATGTGTAAGGAACCCTTTACAACTTTACATGAGCTCAACTATTTGTTTTTAAATTTATTTGTTCCCGACTCAAAGCTTGGTAGTGCTTGTTTTCCTTAGAAAGATATCATGTATCATTCAAGTATTATCATTTCTGCCCTTCTGTTTATCCCTTGACCTTAAGTTTTTAATATGTAGTACAACTGTTTTTGGAGTATCCACGGAGTCCATGCAGTTGTCATACGACTCTAGAGGTAATAGTGTGCCAACAATTCTCTTGCTTATGCAAGGACGGTTATATGCAGAAGGAGGCCTTCAGGTATTCACTTCCCTCCATGCTTTCCAGGTTCATATCATGAATTCTGATTTAAGAATTTGTAAAACTATAGTTCTGGTTCATCTGTTGTATTTCTTATGTGATATGGGGTAGTTCCTGTTCTATATTATTGCCCCCGACGTTTTCTCAAATTGTTCAATTATACATGTAGGCGGAAGGGATTTTCAGAATTAATGCCGAAAACAGTCAAGAGGAGCATGTAAGGGACCAATTAAATAGGGGAGATGTACCAGAAGGCATTGATATACACTGTCTGGCAGGACTGATCAAGGTAGAGTTATGATTGATAGTTAATGTATTGCATCATTTTTGGCATATCCTTGTTCGCATGAAATATGTGAAGGTTAGCTGATTTGAGTGATGAATTAGGATAGTCCAAAAAGGGTTGTACTTAATAGCTTCTTTTGGACTAATTATTTCCTTTTCAAGTTTTCAGAAATTACGTGCCAAAAAAATCCCAAAAGAAGTTCAATGTATATATGAATTTAATATGTCTTAAACAACTCTATGTGTTTTAAGACTTAAACAATGAACTTCAAGTGTATGTTTTTGTCAGCTTGTTTTACAAACTCTTAATTTCAGTGTCAATCTTACACTATTTCACACAACCATTGCAGTTATACATCTGAACAAAATGAAACATACAAAGCTAGAGTCCTTTATATTATATAACTAAAGCAAACTTGTTTGCAGAAGACGTGTTTTGTAGATGACCCTTTTACCATTTTTGGCGGAATGGATTTTGAGTACGTCTAAATAATCAGCTTTTTGTGCCCCTCAACTATATGGATGTTTACACACTGGCAGCCGCATTGTACATTATTATGTTGCAATGTAGAGCAAGGAGTTCAAAAGCGTCCTATATTATTTAATACAGGTGTTGTGTCTATGAAGTTCATCCTATTAAAGGAAAAGTTAAAAGGAAATCCTATTCTACTATGATTTCTAAGTGTTGCATTAGGTTAAAGTCACCACTGATGCTGCTTTTGTGATCCACCTCCACCCTTGCCACCTTGGTACATGTACCACCACTTTTCGAATAGCCTGGTCACAAAGTTCTTGACTATTCTAGGCCATTGCACTAATATTGTGCTTAATTTTGTCATGCTATGATTGTTTCTATGAGTACATTAGCCCTTTGATTATCATGGTAGTTGGGTTGATGAATCTTGATAGGAAAAAACACCTCTTTTATAGAAAGACAATTATAACAGGAAAATTAAGTTCGATGATGTACTGGTATGTATCGTTTCCAAGTAGTTATTTGTCCTTTGTAATCTGGTTCAGCTTATCTTCAAGATACAGCATCCATATGGTTTGTAATGTGGGCAAACACTGGTGAATGTGGGCAAACACTGGTGTAGGCTACCATGGGAGTAGGGTAGCCAGCCCTGAAACCAAGGAGTATTGTCTTCCACAGTTAGTTGTCACCTTTTGCCAAATATGCTCTTAGGAAAGGACCAAGAACGATCAGAAGGAATCCTATAAATACCACATTGCTGTTGAAGGGTAGTGTATGCTCACTTTAGTCTTTTGCTAAGCCAAATCTCTGCCTCTGTGCTTTCTCACATTGGCTTGACTGATTTGATTGTTGGGGTTGTTGGCTGACTTGACTCTACACTGTCCCCCTCAATGATCCCACTTTCCCCCTTGATTTAATGAATGTTCAAGGCACAAAGAATTGCGTGAAAAGAATGGAATGGTTGATCTAATTTTGGCATCAACATGTATAAATTTAAATGTATTTCCGTAGTTAGTTTGTGAAAAAGAAATTTTCAAATTGCCATATTTGACATTGATTTGAATATAGTTTCTAAATAAATGTCCAGGTAATGAAGGTCCTGCGATAATTACTCAACTATTTTCAGACTTTTAGTAGTACTCAATTAGTGATTCAATTTCAAGGGAGTTGTCTATGGGATTTGATTGAGTGGGAGTTTCAGTCTGGCTCTATAAAGTCAGGGACAAACAATAAAGTTAAATAGAAAAACAGGTGACATTCCACTATGGTTTGAAGATGCCCTTACAGAAGCCCTTAGAAAAGCATTTCACTGGGAATTCATTCTCTCTCTCAAATCCATCTTATTTTTCAGATTGGGTTTATGGAAGATGAAAGGGTTGGATAATTTTTTCTGTGTTCGTTGTTTATATGCCTCTGTGAATTGTCTTCTACTTAGAATGTGTTTAACTTTATTGTGAATTCTATTTAAAAAGTAAAAACCACAAAGGCTCATGCTAAAAGCACAGTATGAACTTAATTAAGGCGCAACAGTTGACAAATGGGAGCATGATCGTTGTTTTGTTGAGGAACCCTTGAGCCTCCTTTGTTGCACTTGCTTTAACTCCAGGTATAGTTGGTCAGTTGTCACTATCTTATATACCTTTCCTCGATATCGAATGGAAGTGCTCGAGAGTGATTTTGAAGTTTATATACTTGCAGCATCACATGCTCATTTTTTGTTCTCAACCAGAACATTAACTCGCAGGAGACAAGTTCCTCCAGCTGGGGTCCATGTAGAGTGATGAAGAATATAAAAGAATTATTACTATTTTGAGACCTTTTATCATATTTTATGGGTCTGTTTAGAAGTAAATTAAGGATTCGATTACTGATTTGATTTTGTTAGAGTTTTGACAAAGGAGTTTGTTCTCAAATTAGGTTATGGTGCAACTTTTGTGGGACAGATTGATTTATGAAATTATGAAATCATATGGGCTCCCTTTTGATCTTCGCTTCCTTTCTTCTGTTTACCTGGTCTCTCTTCTATATCTTCTTCTCTTTATACTTTACTAAGGTCCGTATTTTAGTTTGCAAAGTCAAAACTTCTTGGATTTTCATTCACTTTTAATTTTGCAATCAGTGCATTTTTTATCGCAATCATTACATTTCTTTTACAAGTCAAACTTCATTGTCTAGTTTTCTTCTGGTGCACGTTTTCTAATGCTGCTCTTGAGTTTAGTGGAAATTCTAGGACTTGTGAGTTCCCATGAGTTGAATGTTATCTTCAATTGTTTTCTCATGGTTGTGACTCCCACGATGAGGCATCCATGGTTTTTGTGAGCAGCCATAAGGAAAAGTGCTTTCTTGCTGTTTACTTCATCCTGCATCATCTTGATTCTTGATACATTCACCTGATGTTTGATTTGATTTTTTAGGCTTGGTTTAGGGAACTCCCAGCAGGGGTTCTGGATTCTCTATCGCCTGAGCAGGTAATGCAATGCCAGTCACAAGATGACTGTTCCCAGCTTGTGAGGCTTCTACCGCCGACTGAAGTTTCTCTACTGGATTGGGCCATCAACCTTATGGCTGATGTTGTCCAACAGGAACATCTAAACAAGATGAATGCACACAATATAGCCTTGGTTTTTGCACCAAACATGACTCAGGTGTGTATAGTTTCCTGTTTTTTCTGTCTTGCCTGAAGAGTGCGTTTGATATACCAGTACTGTGGCAAGCATAACTAATATATCTTCCGAAAGATCGCATGTAGGCTTTCTTATAATCAAATTGCTGACTTGAATGCATGCTTTCGCTGCATGTATGAGTTCTTTATTCTTTTCATTCTTTACTTTGGTACATGTAGTAAGTTTTTCAAGTTCCAGTTAGTTCTCATCTTCTTTTTGTTTAATGTTGAAGATGTTACTATGTCATATGTTGTATGCTAAGCTTTGTACTATGACTGTCATAGGTGTAAACCATCAGCGGGACACCTCCCTCTGCTCTAGTTTTACATACATAGAAGGTCATTAAATGTTTTCTGACTAAGTTTGTAATCCCTTATAAAAATAGAAGTAAAACATAAGAATACAATGTTGACAGCAGTGAGCCACCGAGGATCACAGATTACTGAATGGTTGGAGCGTTTGACGGATATTAACTGAGTTTTTTGGATTCAGATGGCAGATCCATTGACTGCATTGATGTATGCAGTCCAAGTGATGAACTTCCTGATAACACTTATTTTGAAGACACTGCGCGAAAGGAAGGATTCTGTTGTAGAGCCTCCCTTGTGCTATGTAGAACCCTCTGATGAGGATGGACACCAGAGCCCTTCACAATCCTTAAAGGAAGGTATTGGCAAACTTAATGAAGGGAAAGAACAGTCGGTGTTCACTAAAGAACCTCGATCTGGAAGTTCCTCCAACTCTAATCAAGTCAGTGACCTAACCAATAGAGAGGCTAGCAGTTTGGTGAGCCTGGTTAAGAAGCTAAATCCTGATAACAGTGGGTGTTGCGATGATGCGGTGCAAGATGACTCGTTGGTTAATGAAATGGAAGCTGGCAGAGTCTACAACATGACTTCTGAAGTTCAAGCGCACAACTTCTCTAAGAGCGTGCCTGGTCAATCGAGTGATTCAAATATCAAAATGGTGCCTAAAAGACCAAGTGAACAGCAGTCTGTAATATGCGGAACAGGGCCTATTCAGAAGGCTAGGGGAATCAGCACTCTGAGTCGCATAGATTCTACGATGGAGCGGATTGAAGCCTGGCGGTGAAGAAAGGCTCGACCCAACAATTCCGGATTTAACCGATTCTACAACATTGTGTGAATATAAAGTTTGGATGATTTGCAAGACTGGGAAGAGTGCATTGTTCATGTATGTGTTTTCTGTCTTGCTGGGTGGTGGTTTGCTTAACCTGTTTTGTATTTGTTAGTATCAACCGACATTGTTAATAGGAGTCTCCATTGGCGTGGTTCCTGGTGTATGAGTGTGATCAAACATTTCTTTTTACCTTCTCATTTGGTCAGTGAAAAATGAATTCTAGAACCATTTTTCTCACTTTCAGAAACTATACTAGTATCAGTCGCTCACGAGCAGTGCATGGCCAGGGACCCTCTTAACGTTGTCTATCATTAACAATCAATGGGAACTTGGTCAGGAGTGATGCACAAATCTACCAGAAAATTTTAGTGTTAAAAACTTTAGCACATGTTTGATAGCCATTTCGTATTTAGCTTTTGGTTTTTATTTTTGTGTTATGATAGAGGTGAAGCACGTGAAAGAAATGAGGGTCTAGAAGAGCGGGAGAAGGTTGGTTGGAGGTATGTAGAAGAAAGGTAATAGGAAAGCACACAAATTGATAACCGCAAACTATATTAAGTTGTTTTTACTTTTAGATTTTGTTTCCTTTCTTTTTTTTTTATTTTCCCCATGTCTCAAGTAAAGATGTAAAAATTAAAGACTAAATTGTCAACAAACGAGAGTTTTTCGCATACTATTAATTTAAGTTACCATTGTAGTGGTATCTCAAATTAGTATCACAATTCCATGTAGATAAAGATATACACATATACCCCAATAAGTTGGTACAGTGGAAAGCAATTAAGGTCTTGGATCCCCATCCCAAGTTCAAACTCCAATTAATGCATTTTTTGGAGCTATTGACTCTGCTTTGGTTTATCATTTGATCTGGGAGCCAAAAGTATGTTGCTGCCAAGAGGGAAATGATTCTTTCGTTAATGTATAGTAAGATACTTTTTATATTAAAAAAAAGAAGATATACATATGACATAACATTATTTCATTCTGAAACACCATGGAATATTAACGTGACGTCGAGTATGTAAGTCCTTTCCCATCATATGCGCAGTGGGACCACAAATCCATGGCCAATAAACACGACGTGGGAAAGAAAATTATAACAAGACGATACAAAAACTATCGGATTGTGGAACTCTCCACAAACACTAGCAGTCGGCATCCATCAAATATCAAAGGCTTGTTTGTTATAAATTAATGTATATTTAGACGAGGCATCAGACTACGGTGTGATGGGAGCCAACTATTGTCTTATAAAACAGGTGGCTACTGTAAATGAACCACTGGGATATTCCTCACCATGCCATTGAAAATTAGAGGAGGAAATGTAGGACCATGGTTGGATGTGGTGCACCCAACTAGGCATTGAGTTCAAAATTGTTAAATTTTGGTATAGATTCAATCTAACTAGATTAACTTATGGAGCCTTCTTTCTATGAACAAAAAGAAAATTGAAACAAACAAATAATTTTAGAATCACATTCAGACGCATAACATGATCTGAGTCCAAACTATCTGTGAAATAAATAAATTAAACACAAGTAACTACTCGTAAGTGCAAAAGATTAATAAGAGTACAAGAAGAGAAAAATAAGGTTGTTTCCATGATAATTGACCAATTAATCACTCAAATCTTAATAAATAAAAAAGAAAACTTTTGATTGATGTGAATGGTTGCTTAGTACTAAAATTAACAAGAAATTTAAGATGACAATTATACAAGAAGAGCTTTGAAAATCAAGTCCAATGTAGCCTCATATTTACCTATCCGTTGATTAATCAAATTGATGTTATTGGTTTGTTTTCCTTTCGTATAGATAACCTATTGTATTTAGACTAATATATCTCTACATACAACTTTTTCATAGTATTGAGTACAAGAGCGAACACCTAGTACTCCTAGGAATATGATAGTTTGTCCTAAAAGAATTACCACTCTTATGCACAAGAAGCAAGCCTCAAATTTGGTATGGTATGGTATTTGACCCAAAAAAAAAAAAAAAAATTGGCATGGTATTTACTCTAGTTTGCATCAAGTAACTAATTAAAAATATTAAAGGTAGCTAAGAACTGAAAACTGAAAACAAAATTAGAGTAATCAACAGCTAGACAAAATAAGAAACTAGACCATCATACCTTAGATAAGATGTTTATCTACAGTCACAAAAATAAAAGAAGGAATGTGTTATCCACACACCTCATTTTACTTCTCACACACCTTTTGATAATTTATGTTTGTTGATCTTCTTCAATTCATGCGATCCGACGGCCGAAAGTTGAAAAGGTGTGTGAGAAGTAAAATAGGATGTGTGGATATCACACCCCATAAAAGAAATACTAAAGAGAATGATTAAGCTTGATTTGCTTTGGATATAACAAAATAACAACCCATCAATGTCATGAACGTTGCATACACATCAATACCCTTATAATTTGTTAGGAAGTTTTCTTTTCCTCATGTACGAAATTATAAAATTCGTTGAACGGTATTGTGTGATCAAATTTGACGAAAGCAAATCCTATTCATACATATTCGTACATAATTGATGTTTGTGGCATACATTTGAAAGCATATGATTCATCTTGTTTATTTACATCAAAGTTCTGAGATATTTCATTAAAAGAAAATTTCCAACCTTAAAAATGATAAAAATGGTGGATTTAGATTGGAAATTTTAGTGGAAACTGTTAATTAACTTTCAAAAATATTAAGAGCCGTTTGATACCATTTTGTTGTATTTGATTTTTTTTTTAAAATTGAAAACTTATTTAGTAACTACTTTTTTTTTTCAACCACAAGAAAATACTTAGTTTAAAAACAATAAAAAAAATTGAAAGCAACTTCTTTGAGATTACAAATTTTAGCTTTCAGTTTTCATTTGTTTGAAAATTGAAAGTAGTTACCAAATATGAAACACCTTGACCCGGAATGACCACTTGGACTCTGAATTGAGCCGTGCGGGTCGACACCTGGAGGATGACGAAGCCATAATGTGTAGTGACGTGGAAAATGTGAGTAAATTTAAACCTAAAAGTGCCTGAATGTAAGAGTGCGCTGGTGAGCGGGAATGAACCCATTTCACACACGATATCAGAGCATAAGTAAAGTACAGTAGAGTAGGATGAGAATTGTACCATCGAAGGTAATCTCCAATACCAAGATTTTCCAAGAATCCTTGTCGATACGAAAGCTCAGCTACTAAAACCTGGAGGGGCGAAAAATAAGGGTGAGTGGGCCTAAAAATAAAGCGTTGTAAAGACCTTTTCAAAAACATAGCCAAACCAGAATAATAATTGTCGTCGTACGCAACATAAGAAAAGATAGGTGTCTAACATAACAAGCTAAAACTATAAAACATTCAAAAGCAATATGTCCTCTAAGGTCCGGATAGTTCATTCAGACTAGCCGTTAGTTTGAGGGTGAAATGTGGTATTAGACAAAAACTTAGTACGTATAGCCTTCAAGAAGACTTCCCTAAACCTGGAAGTGAAACACGTATCATTGTGAGGTACAATAGTGACCTGCACACTATATAGCTGAACCATGTAGTCTACAACGCCTAAGCAAGCCGATTCATAGTGAATTTCTCTTGAATTTAGTGAAAACTATGTTGGGAAGACTAAAAGAATAATCAAGAATTTGAGGGTCAAGACAAATCCATCAATTTTAGAATACAAGGTAATTGGAATTAATGCATGACATCTCGCTACAATGGTAGTTTCAGAAATATTCAATCACCAATGGTAAAGATTCACTCAGTAGAGTATTTGTTAGGTGATTGAAAAATTAATGGTCACAACTAAAACTTCAATGTCTGAGCAATTCTCCTAGATAGTTTGTCTACATAAAAAATAATACAAAGTGCAGTGGGGTGGACACGTACCCAAGGATGACTGGAAGGCCTTCTGGCACAAAGATGTGAATATGGAATCACAGTCAGAATAGATGCTGATCAAAATGCCATAAAATCTAGTAAATTCAAGAATGAGAAATTTTACTAAATGGTCAAAAATATAGTCCTGATTTGTCAAATCGGTCAATAATTGCTGAAATATCATTATAATCTCCATATGTACAAAATACCTCGTACCAGAAGTTTATGGTGATATTTCCCATCTCCATTCAGATACGAAAAGTGATTATAACTACTTGAAAAATTTCTTGATGATTTGTAAGTAACATCGTACCAATATTCATGAATTCTAACTAGAATGGGATAGGATGAGCTGAAGATGATGAATGATAGATACGTCTTTTGATGCAGTAATCCGCAATTAGTTTGCACGGCCAGGGTAATACATGATAATACAATCGTGGATGTTGATTTGGTTCATCCATCCTCGCTATCAAAAATTTAGGTCATCTTAAATGAAAATTTATTTGAGAAGTTTGCGAGGTTGATAAAGATTCTAGGAAAGTTTCCCCACTAAAACTTGTCATTGAATTTTCAAGTAAAAACGGTAAATGTTGACTTTAAGTCGAGAGTAAGGTAATTCACTTCATGCAGCCATCGATAGACATAAGCAAGACTCCATCATGCTGCATCAGCATGCAGCTGAAACATTCAGAGAAAACGTCATCATGGATTTCAAATTTATCAATATTATCAAAAAGTATAAGAATGAGGGTAGGAAATAGACAACACCTCGGTTGTCGCAACTTTATCATAAATGTCACAAACGAAACTAACTTTCCTCGATCTACAAGTGAGGAAAATGCTATAGCTGAAAAATTGCTAACAATTTGCCGATAAAATCGACAAGGTCAAGAATAATTTGAATTTCATAGTAATTCATGGGAATTTGGTATAAAGCTGATTGCCGATGTTTAGAGAATTTGGTCGCGCTGCCGAGGTAAATAAAAAAAGTCGTTGATGATACTACTACAAATTCGTCAGGCTATGGAAGAAAACTCGGGCTACAAAAGTGGGTCAGGTAGACCATCAATTCAAAGTATAGGTTAACGATTTTAGTCGTTACTTGATTGAGTTGCTAAAATGTAGGTACGATCCTAAGGTTCAATCTATTGTCTCTAAGGTTAGGTTTGGGATACCCTAGATAGTTTAATTGGGTAAATTCCTAATAGGTAAGCTTTTGTAACTAAGTTTTCATGATGATGTAGGAGTTGTTTGAAAGATGCAAGGATAACTGGTGTAGTATGAGAAGGTAGATCAATGGTGTACTTTACTTCACAATTTGGTGATATCGCAAGTAGAATTTTGAGAAAT